AGGCACCGCTCACGTTGTGTTTTCGGCTTTGGAAACGGAAAGAACACAACTCCTCCAGACAATCTATCGGGGTATCTATCGGGGTACTCCAGACAATCTATCGGCCGTGGGCGGACCGCTTCACCATCTTGCTTGGAGTCAATGTTTGACGGACCTGCTCACATAGTAACGGTTGCTATGATGTGTGATTGGACAATGGCCGTTTTGGGGCAGGGGCCGGCGAAAGGTCAATTATCCCAGTTCAAATGAAGTGTAAGGGAAAACCATTTACATGAATAAACATTTAGTAAAAAAAACTGTTACAAAAACCAGTCCTACCACCTAAAGAAGTTAACTGTTGAGTTTGTCAAACTCTTTTGTAGCTTTTTTTTATTCCAGGAATTTTTATAGTCTTACCAGCAATACTCCTGCTCAGAAATGAGTAGATCCAGAAGACCATCTTTTTCTTCACATTGTTGCAAAATCTGATCATGTAGCTCTTTAACAGTGACGCGACATCCTTTCCAACTGTAACTAAGGCATGGTTAAACAAAAGAAATGCTATTATATCCATTACATCTTTCCTCTGATGTGACTTCAATAGCATATTTAAAAAGGTCATTCATTACAATGTCTTACTTGGTCATACGTATGAAAGATCCACACATAAATGAATTGAGGGGCTCATCATTAGCTTGACCTAAGTCACCGTCACATATCAAGGGCACAGAAGCAGCCAATCCCAGACTCAGCCCTGGCTTCTCAAAGCATAACTGTAATGATTAAAGAAAAGAAAACAATTGCAGCTCACTGGGATTAAACTGTCAACGTTAAAGGACATTGTGTTTAGTAGCTTTACTGTGCTAATGAGAAGAGGAATCGAAAAAAAAAATTCAATTCTGTCATTATTCACTCTCATGTCATTCTAAACCTGTATGGCTGCGTAACATAAATTAAGGTATTTTGAAGAATGTTGTTAACCAATCAGTTTTGGTTCCTATTGACTTCCATTGTGCTTGTTGTCTATATAATAGATGTCAATGGGAACCGAAACTTTTTGGTAACCAACATTCTTCAAAATATCTTCTTTTGTTTTCCACAAAAGAAAAAAGACATACAGGTTTGGAACGACATGAGTAAATGATGAAAGAATTTTAATTTTTGGTTGAACTATCCCTTCAATTTTATAAATCATTATAATAGTAATCTAGGATTTAAAACATAGTTTATTCATCAATATGAAATTATTTATAAAAATTACCCAAAAATGTGTATTCTTGGTGTTTTCAAGGGTTCTTCAGGCAGGGTTAACCTTCTCAAAATACTTGTAAGAGAGAAAAAAATGTTTACACAAACCTTTCCATAGCCAAAACACTGCATCATCAAATCACAGGCAGACATCTTATAGCTAGTTTTATTTTCATGACTGAGCTCATATCCCCTAAAGAAAAGGACACAAACAAAAAGAATCTGAATTTTTACTTTCACTTTTGTATTAAAAACACTTGTACTGTATTGAGTTTCCATTTGATGTGCAATCTGAGTACTGTCCTACGTCGGTGTTGTTACTTTCTCATTCTCAAGAATAAAAGACTATAACAAAGAGATTGAAAGTGTTCACTGATAAAGATCAATATTACTGCAGATCTTACCAAGGGAGCAAGAGCTTGAGCAGGGACGGAGAGTTCAGGAGAGTCTTTGAGGAGGTAGGGGAGGAACGCACATCCCCGGACAGATGCGTCTGCAACAACCTCTGCATTTGAGACTCGCATCTCTTCAGAAAAGCAAGCATCTGTAGATAAGGAAGACCAATTAATCATATGGCATATTTACACTGCAGAAGCTGCATCTGAAGCAGCAAGTATAGAACAATAAGGTGCATTACACAGACCGTTTATGAATGCATGCACATAGAAATTACAATTGCAGAAATGTGATGTTTTAAATATGAAACTATGAAAATGTTGACAGTATAAAATTGTAAATAAAAACATCTAAAATAATCAATTATATCATGAAATACTCTGTCATGACAAAGACAAAGATTAAGGCTGTACTGATGCTGCATTTTATCTATACAGAACCAAAGCAGCACAGACCTTGGGGCTGTTCTCCTGAGCACCTGCCTCGGCCCAGTCCTTCGGAGTCCGGCCCTGATCATCATGGAGACGCAGGTCCCCGCCAGCATCCAGCAGTGAACTCAGGAGCCAGGGATTACAAGAGAAAACTGCAGCATGGATGGGGGTACTTCCATCATTACAGCGGCTAGTGGACATAAGCATCACACATGAGATAGTATGCTATTTTTCATATTCACACAATCTCCATGGATGATTATGGGAAGGTTTGGCCTTACTGATTTGGGTTTGCTCCAAACTGCAGAAGTTTCTCTGCTACACTGACAAAGCCGAGGAGAGATGCACAAAAGAGTGGTGTCTGTCCAAGGTGGTTCATGCTGTCAACTCCCACACCTATGGAAGGTGGCATACAAAAAGCATTAATGAGACATGTACAATCAAAGTAAAAAATCATTTGAAATGCCTCTGAGATGTATTCAAACCTTTTTTGAGTACTTTCTCCACTTTTGCTACTTTTTTCTCAATTGTGTATCTGTGTAGGAGGGCTGGTAAACCTCCACTTTTCACAGTACCCAGGAGCACCGGGCAGGGCATTGGCTGAACCCCTGTCATGATGCTGATGTCCCATAGATCAAGTAAATTTTCCAGAGGTTTCTTCTTCCTCACCTGTAAACCATAATTTAGGCCTAAATTACTAGGTTGGATAGTTTTAGCATAGAAACCTAACCTAACGAGAGATTAACACATGTTTGCTTAACATTGTTTACTGACTAATTACAGTTGCAGTCAGAAAGTAAAATAAAAATAAACTATTAAACGAGAACTAACCAGCGAAGTTCTCCTTACTGACTTCTGTTATACTCAAACGTAAAGTTTAAATGTAATCAACGTAAGTTACATATGCTAGCAAGCGGACAAAATTAGACAAAGCTCATGTAATCTGAATATTCATATTTATCGTACTATAATTTACCAGTTCAGGAAGAGTTTAGGTGATTGTCGCTAATTTAAAATGACTTCTGAAAGAACTACTTCAATATTCTCATCTGTAACGTTAATGTATTTCACGCGCTTCACACGTTCTTGATCATTCTATTGGACGTTGGGAAACAGCGGATGGATACTATTAGATGAATCTTGAAATATCGACATTTCATATGTTTTATTTCATAGAATCGATTCGAAGTATTTCAAATAGTGATTTTATGTTTTGTTTAGACTTCATAAATAGACTTCATAAACTTTAAAGTGAGAATCCAATTTGTTAGCAAAACATTGTGAGTGACACGCACTATTTCTCCTTTTGCTTTCTCCCTCCGCGCAAATGTGTTGCAATGAGAATTGTTATGTGACGTTTGTCAAAATTAATTTAAATTGAAAGTTGTCTATCGATTGCTCATGTTCTGTAATTGATAAGAAATTATCGACAAAACAAAATCATTGCAGTTTGTTTAATGTTATTTATGAATAATGCTTTTAAACCTTGTTTACCTCAGAAATAACAAAACATATATACTGTATAAGTATCAGTATCGTTTGAAAGCCCGTTCCCGCCACAGTTGAGAGTAAATAAATGATTCTGTAAGTCATTATGATGAGAAACTTTTTCATAATAATGAGATTTCCCCCTAAATATTATAACACATTAACTAATTATCTGAACGTTTCTCATTATTTTGAGATACTATAATTACGGAGAACATTCTCATTGTTATGATATAGTAAGTCATTATTAGGAAACATTTTCTCAATATAATGTGACTATCATAATTATGAGATTATAATTTATTATTTAATTTTAGTTATCTCATTATGATTTACAGATTCATATTTTTACTCAATTGTAGCATAAACAGTCTTCCACAGTGCATGGTGAACGATCATGGATCGAAAGAATGGCTAAAGATAAAAAAAATAAATAAAAAAAAAACATTAAACAGTTTAAGAATGAATAGTGAATCAATTTCTTTATAAATGTGATTCAAAAATAGCCAAACTAGGTTCATTGTTTTATATGCTACTTTGAGAAATTAGGGTTAGGACTTCTGTAAATAATTTCATTTAACCACACAACTCAAAAAAACAAAATCATATTCAAACTGCCAAAAAAAAAAAAAGAAGCCATATAAACAAAGAAACGCCCATTGTTCAAATGGTTAGTAAAGAAATGTCACAAGACACCTTTGTCTTTTTTTCTGCTAAGCATAAATTCCCCATATGATGATATACATAAAACTATTCTTACTTATAGATTTATATATTTTTGTCAATATATTTATTCAAGGCAATTAGTTTTTATTTTATTATATTTGAATTATTTTGAAAACTGCGGTAGGGACTTTTATTTTGTCTGGTCTGGTGACGGTGCTGTCCTGAACCTCAACGCAAAGCTAATAATCCTTGAAATCAGAGGTGTGTGTTGGTGTTACACACATCCTCTCTCTTTCTATCTCTCTTCTTACACGCACAGAAGGATGAACAACCCCGTTACAGAAGACGAGGACTGCACTTAATTTCACTTTTTAAACTCTTTTTTTTTGTTTTCTGCTCGGCTAATGTGATGGTAACGTGGCTCATCAACACCGGGGGGATTTTCAGGAACTTTTTTTTCACGTCGAGTAACGTTAGCCTACTCCGGATCTAATGATTTTATTATTTAGAGATGTCTTCAAATAGCAAATAATAGTCCAACCGATGTCTTTAATGTATAATATTAATAATATTTTTTTTAAACCTGTAATTAAAAAAAAATTGAATGTGTCCGATAACACTGTTAACATCTCGCAGATTAATTCACAATTGGTTTACTGTGATTAACGTATGTTAAAAAAATTACTTAGTGTGTAAGTAGTTGTACAGATGCTCTAATATTATAAATATCACATTTAATAATTGTATTTTGTTCTATCTGTCGCTGTCCTGCTGGTTGAAGTGAGATTTACGAGCCTCAATCCACCGGTCTCGTGTTTCCACCCACCCTCCGTTCGTGAACTTTCATTTTTGCTGTTTTGTGAAGGTGTTTTATTACTCAATTATTCTAGGAAGGAAAGTTTCGTTATTGTGTTGGGATGCGGAAGGGTGAGGAGCAGAGCTGAGGGTAAACATGTTAAGGGTTTAAGAGAATGGCTCGGTGATCATGTCGTCTATGGAGGGTGTTTTCTCCGGGGTGGGTGACTGGCAGTGGCTCTGCATGGTCACTCTCTTTCTGGCCTCTGTTGTCACTTTGATTACATACTTGGTGCTGTATTTTTCCAACGAACCCCCTGTTGGGAAAACACCTCTCAGTCATGTGGATTCAGAGGAAGCTGATGGGATTTTATGCTGGGTGCTGTCTCTGAAAAGCTGGAAGAGTCAGTGGAGAAGAGCCTGGTTTAGGGGCCTTAATGAGGAAGCTCGTAGATCACAGGTTTGTTTGTAATTCAGTTCTCTCTCTCTCTCTCTCTCTCTCTCTCTCTCTCTCTCTCTCTCTCTATATATATATATATATATATATATAGTTAGTCTTCCTAAAAAATAAGAGATTGTTGTGGTCTATTTTTGCTTATTGTATTACTTTGGTATTTTGTTCCTCTTATTAGAGCGGGATTCAGCTGACCTTTGAAGATGATGGTGTCCAGTCATCAGAACTGGCCGTGGACCAGATTTCAAGCTTTACAAAAACACTCGGTCAAAAGGTAAGGGCAATGAGGGCATGTTTCGAAGCCTGATTCCCTCAGCCATCACATACCTTAACAACAGACATCGCTGAGTGTTATTTAACTGCTTTTTTTTCTTTTCTTTTTTCTGTAGTTGTCTATTTGTATTAAATTGGTTATGTTGTGTGTGTTAAACAAGTGCAGTGCTGTGGAAAAGAATTTCCCCCTGGGGACAATAAAGTTAAAAAGTTAAAGTTAGTTAAGTTAATATACACTATATTGTGGATCTCCCTACTTGCCTGTATTTAGGTTTGCATGTGTTGAATCAAAATAGGGCGAGTATGATATAAGACTTCTCCTTTTGACATGCACCGCTGTTTGTTGATTCAGGAAAGTTATTAGCAGTGTTATGACTGTTAAAATGTTAGGATATTTAAAGTTTCCACCTAGTTTTAGTCATAGTTGGTTTCTTTTTGCAGGATGTCCTGTGTCAGGTGGTTGGGAACAAACTGCAGTTTTCTGTCAGTGCTTTACCAAGCTCAGCATCTTCAGAAACACCCCTGAGATACAGTGTGAAAATATCTCCACTTCGTCTGCAGGTAAAAACGAGTGTTTATTCTGCTCTTTAAAGTCACTTGAGGATGGTTGAGTAAACATCAGGCTTTGGCGTCTGTATAACAAATTGTCAAACAAGACAGTCATTCTTTGAATGCTTCCAGAGATATTGGCATTTGGTTTGGAGGATGAACCAGTTTTTTTTTTCAAAACATTCCTATGGAGCAGACAAGCGTCTCATTCTGTGTGCTTCTAGGAAAGTCTGTCATGTGTTTTGTCATCAAAGTAAATAGTTATTTTAATCACATGGGGATAAATCAACACTATGCTTAATTGAACTGTACATTCAGTTTGAGTGAAGAGGGAAATAAGTCTTATGGGGAAGTTAATTATATTCTAAAGCAAGTAATAAAGTTTTAGGATTTTGAAACCTTTAAAACAAAGAAGTGTTGGTAGATGTAAAATGAATAGTAAATTTTTTATATTTTGTTTGGTTTCTATGTCACTAATCATGTGAACTGTTTATACAAAAGGTCAGATTTTCTTCCATTTTCACTTGGATATACAAAAAAATGTGTAGAATTAAAGTAATGCACAAAAAACAATGTTTTCATTAGTGTTCTCAGACTTCAACCCCTCTATGTTATTTATGTACATAGTATACTTCTATTGTATTTTATTAATATTTTGAAATGAATTGGCTTTTCATTTTTACATTTTCATTTTAGTTTCAGTTAGGCTTGTCTTTTTGTTATGTGCTCTTGTAATTTTTATTATTTAATATTTCATTATAGCTTTAATTTTTGTTATTTTTATTTCAGTTTTAGTACATCAACTTAAACTTATTTATATCATTTAGTAAATCACCAAGTAAATGCTTCTAATTTTCATTTAAGTTTTTCATCTAATATTTATTTCAGCTTTATTTTTAATTTTTAATAATTTTAGCTAAGTCAAATGTGCAAAAGTGCAAAAAAAATTGCACTTTATTTGTGCCTCTGGACAATACATTTCATGTGAGCTTTTTAGCATATTTTTTGTGTGCAGATCTTCTTTTGTCATTTTTAATAGTTTTAGTTAACCCTAAGAACACTGCTCCGTTTGTGTACAGTCCTATTAGGCTTATATGGAATGAGGAATAAACACATTTGCCCTTGAATGGGACATCCCATGTTCTCATGAGAGATGTAACGCCTCGTGCACCATCCTGGATGCTTTTGATTTATAGGGAGTGACTCACTCTGCCATTTTATTCGCCACGGGAATCAGATTAAGTGCCTCAGTCGCGAGCACTGGCTCAGTGTCCTGCCTTTATTTTAATCACCGTTAATATGTCTCTGCCTCAGGAAAGAGCACGTGCACTTGCACTAGTACATCCTGCCCAGAATTATTCATGGAAAAGCTTGTACCTCTTGAACAGAGTTATTTTAATATTGCACTACAAATAGCAGTAAAAAACAAACAAAAAAAAACTATATCACAATTTCAGTGTGCAGAGCTGCAGCTTTTTTGCAGTAGTTGACAATACATTGTGTTTAAGAGCTCACACCGTCTTTGCTTAATTGAATTACAGCTATTTTTAAACCAGTAAGTTACTCGACGACTCATTGTTTTGCTGATCCCGTTTTAGCTTTAAGTGCATTGAATGGCTAAACATTTAACATGTTGTAAAATCTAAAATTTTCCTCATATGTCTCCACAATCCGCCCCGGATCTATGGTATTCTGTAGTAGTAGGCAGTTTTTGTTTAAGAGGATTAGGCCAAGTGCTAGATTGTAAATAGAATTACGGGCATGTGCCAAATGTACATACAGAATGCTTGCATGTTTAGGAGTTTTTGCGTTTATTTTCTGTTTGTCATTTCAGCCTCTTTCTGGAGGAATCCATATGGCTATTGCATATTTTTGTCTGTTTCCCCTGCTGGTCAAGGCCGGTTACTGGAAAGCTCCAGCTCTTGTTAGAATGGCTTTGTAGGCTGAATAACAGTATATTTAGGGCTTTTGTTTCTGTTCTAGAGGTCATTGCACTCTAAACCCCGACAGCCGTATACAAGGTTGTGGAATAACCCATTTATTTTAACTCCATGCGGTCCAACACTTGGCACAAGCACTGTAAGCAAATATATTTTCAGCCTAAGATTGAAGTAGATCGATTGAAGCATTTCCTGATTATATAAATCTCACTCTAAGGCAAGCTAATAGTAACTGGTTAGCATTTGCTGTCTCTTCAGACTATTATTTCATGTGATTTGGGAATGAACTTGAGAGCACTGCAAAGGAATTTGGCGCCCTGTCATTTTTTCCTCCTCGTTTCATCCAAGTTCATTCTCCAGAAATGTAAAGCAGTCGTGCTTGGACATGACAGCCCATTCCTCCATGTACTGTGGGCCCTGCGGCTCAATGCGCTGTTGTGAATATGAGAATGCTCTGGACCCTTTGTTTATTGTGAGTTTGAAGTAGGCAGTGTTAGGTTATTCTGTTGTAGGTCGCTGTGTGTTTCTGCCTTGCTGAATTGAAGCAGCAGCATTTATTGTTTAATTTATAGCTGATTTTTGGTCATTTGTTTATTTCAGTTGGTTTTTCAAGCAGCATTTTTCTTAAATCAATAATATTCATACACATACTTGTGTGAGTGCACAGTAGTTTGATTCTGTACGTGGCAAGTTGACAATGGTAAATAGCCATAAGTTGAAAAATTATTTTTTGTCATTTATTATTATTAATGACTTTTATTAAACATTGGTGTCTTTTATCATACTGCATTTGCTGCTGGTTTTTTTTTTTTAAAGTGCAGGTCTGTTCTCAAAGGTAAGGTATTTATTTTAGATTTACAAAATATTTCAATTTCAAATAAATGCTGTTTCTTGGAGTTTCCTGTTTATTAAGTAATCCTGAAAAAAATGTAATTCAGTTTCCACAATTGCTTTCAGCATGGATAATAATAAGAGCACCAAAACAGCATATAATGATTTCTGAAGAATCATGTGACACTGAAGACTGGAGTAATGATGCTGAAAATCTAGCCATCACAGGAATAAACTACATTTTAAAATACATTAAAATAAAAAAGTTATTTTATATTGTTATAATATTCTCAATATTACTGTTTTACTGTATTATCTTACTGACCCAAACTTTAGATAAGCTTTACATTTAAATAGGTTGAGTTTATATCCATAATTTAATGCAAAAATAAATGCCAAAAAAATCCTAATAATAAAAATAAGTGAACAAATAAATAGAAGCTAACATTGTTTTACATGATGGTTGACATTTTAATTTTAACTATGTTTTCTGTTTTGTGAGCTTTTAAAAGCAACAAAACAATTGAGACCTTATATTAAACCATGTTTAAAGAGGTTTTAGGCTTTACAATTTTGTACACAGTCTCATGACTTATTGCTCAAATCAGCCCTTGTTTTGTGTCTGTGGTTATAAGTAACGTTTGTGTGTCTATTGTTGTCACAGCTGGCCCTACAGATGAAAGAGGTGAACAGGGAGGTGGAGATTTCCTGGAGGGTGCTTCACCTGGACTCTGTAGATTTGCAGCTGACGCCAGGTTTTGCGCAGGTATATTCACTCATCAGACCACTCAAGAAAGAAAAGATCATGATTAAGTACGGTTCTCATTGTCTGTTTTTCATTTGTAAATCTCTGTCGTTTTTAAGGGGTAACTTCTGCTTATTTTTTTTCGGAAAGCACATGGCATGACTCTGTGTGTGTTTCAGGGAGATTATGAGAGTCTAAGTGAAGTGGCTGTGAGCGACAGGCTCAGACAGGTCTTGAATGGAGCTCAAGCATTTGTAACTCTGAGCAGCCGACATGCAGAGTCTGCAGAAGTCCAGGTACAACCCTGCGCAAATGTCATTAAGTGTTTATCGTATCATCATTAGCTCTTAATCCTCTCTAAAAAGGTTCCACATCATTTCAAATTCAACCACAGAAGAGTTTTAAAACCCTATTATGTTTGTCTTAAAGGGATAGTTCACCCAAAAATTAAAATTGTCATCATTTACTCACCCTCAAGTTGTTCCAAACCTGTATGAATTTCTTTCTTCTGCTGAAAACAAAAGACTATATTTTGAACAACATGGGTAACCAAACAGTTGATGAGCCCTATTGACTTCCATATAAAAAAATTTTCCCATACTATGGAAGTCAATGGGTCTCATCAATTGTTTGTTTACCCATGTTCTTCAAAATACCTTCTTTTGTTTTCAGCAGAAGAAAGAAATTCATACAGGTTTGGAACAACTTGAGGATGAGTAAATGATGACATAATTTTATAGTTCATTGGGTGAACTATCCCTTTAAGGCCTTGAATATATGATCTGATAAATGTCATAATATTCAGAGAATTACATAACTTTGGAATTTTCTCAGAATGGAGAGAAAAACACAGAAAAGGATGTTGCTGTTGATGTTATGAGTGATAATGTTTTATTTCCTTTGTCCTCTTTAACAGGAAGTAAGGAACAAGACCTTGGAGGTGACCTCACCCCCAAAGCCCCCGCGAGCACATGAATGGAAACTATTAGTGAAGAACATCCGGGTCACATGCAAACAGGAGAATGGTGCTGCAGGTCAGTGGCCAAAAGAGTAGTGCATCGCACACACATATTAATGAAGAATGTATGTCCTTTCAGGTGTTTAATATTTAGCCAACTAATTTATGCAGATTTATACAATATTCAATAAAATGCAGCATGATGTATATTGGTTTAAACATGCTTTTCAGCATTTGAAAGAATTTTTTTTGTAACAATTTAGTATCACCTTTTTTTTTATTATGTGCCTTTCGTAATCACAGATAGCTGTTTATGATGGGCCATTTCTAAATATATGGTCATATGATTCACAAAAATGTACATCCTTAAAGTCCCATTGGTCTCGTTATGTATTAGATGGACCTCATATATACCACAGACCTCATCTAATGTTTTAATATTGCTTGGATCGAAGAAATAAAGCCAATAATTTAGATGGAATTTTGTTGTGGGCACAAAGTGCAGGCAACACTTCCCAAAAAGCACCGCCCCCATGACTTCTTAAGTGAACTGCCTGTGTTTCCCTCAATCAGGATGTCCCTTCTGTTCGGAAATCATTTTCGGAAGTGGTCTAATTGTCCCGCTGCTCTCCAGCCAAGTCACTATTACAGCCTAGCCAAGCACTTAACGGAGACAACTGGCAGCTCATCCGTTTTATGCATAATTCATTTTGACAAAGAGTGTTCTCTGCATTAGTCAGTCATTTAGCTCAAACAGTACTAGATCTCTTCCTTTGTCTTTTGGCACAAAAATCTGGTTTTATTTGATGGGTTACATGTACATTAGCAAATGAGTCTACTTTCGGAATGGTATTGCTTGTGCTTGAAGATGATAAACTGTTTCTGTTCTGCTTTCAGGCGGCATGAATCCCCAGTGTATCCTCCAGTTGGATGATCCTCCTCAGAAGGTCACCAGTTCGGTCTTGACTAACACATCCAACCCGGCCTGGGATCAGCCCTTCATATTGTGAGTTCAGGTCCACCTCCCCAGCTGCTCCTGCCAACTTAATTTATACCCATTGAAAAAAAAATATCTGTTTTAACCTTTTGCCGCTGTTATAGAAAAGTACAATAGAGATAGGACAGGAAATTAGGAAAGGGAAATAATGTGAATCAGGCTGATGTTGGAGTGACACTACTGGCTGGGAAACTGGCTGTTTAGTAATGTTAGTAGCACAGGTGCAATAGCGTATATATACATATAAATATCAATAATTATTTATATTCTTATTATTTTAACATTTTATATTTAATATTATTTTAACATTTTTAAAAATTGTAAACCTTCAAAAGCTTGGTCAGGATTGTCAACTCACAAATCCACACAAAATTTAAAACCAGCAACCATGTCCTAAGACATTTAAAATAAATAAAATGATTGGTATTTTTGGGGCATCTTTTTAGATAGGAATGCCGTATGATTTATTTTATCTCCTGTCTCTGTATGGTTTTGCAGTGAGCTTAGCGGCCGATCAAAGGAGCTGAACATCCAGGTCGTGGATAACGGCAAACCTCAGGAGAGTAAGTCCACATGACCGAAAATAAACCAGCTTAACGGCATAAAAACAGAATAGTGATATCCATTAATCTGGGTCTGCAAAAGCTTGAAGGTCATCTGAATTTTAATCTACTTTCTGTCATCTGTTTCTCTAAATCATGAAATATCCTCAAAATGAGGTGAAAGTGGTACATTTATTGAGCTAATAGCAGGATACTGTGGTAACATTATGATCTGAACTCTGCTAACAGACAATGTGACGGCCTCCATTACCTCATGTCATTGGCCTTTCACCCTGATTTCTAACAGGCCAGATGCGCTTGTGTGAAATGTTTGTCTGTTTATTCAGTGTCACTTTTGCCTTCCTAGGCAAACGCATTGATTAAATAATGAGCATTCATTTGATTTGATCAGGCATCACTCTCTGTTCTCCTCCCAGGTGGTTTGTTAGGTCAGGTATCTGTGCCTTTTGATCTAGTGAAGAAACACCCCAAAGGTCAACAGACTTTTTCACTCATGAACAAAGATCATATGACCGGATCACTAACTACTGAGGTAAATGTATATCAAATATCATCAATATATCATAATGAGACTGTAACTAGATGTCAATTTTGATTTTATTTTAGATCTAATTCTCATAGAAATGTGTCTCTTTATGTATTTTTGTGTACATTGGCCTGAAACTCTTTAATGCTGAAGTGAATTAAAATGCCCAAGCTTAATATGCAGAAAGAACTATAAGAAAGCCTAAACTATAATTTCGTTCCGTTTCCTTTGGAAAATGAATTATGCCATACTGAATATATTTGTTTACCAACCTGAATGAATGAAACCTGACGTTACCTCTTCATGCTCTCGGTGTAGTTCACCTACCTGGAGCCCAGCGAGGTGCGGAGCTGGCAGACGCCCACGCCGGCCCCTACTAAGAGAGTGGAGATGGACCGCACTGTGATGCCCTGTGGCACCGTTGTCACCACTGTCACTGCTGTGAGGAGTAAACCAGGACGACCTTTGCAACCTGGTAGCTTTCATTTGACCTTTGATTCAGTTGTTAATTTTTGAGGGAGGCAAAATAGTGGGGGTTTTATTTGGGTATTTGTTATTAAAGTTAAATATAAAAATGCTACAATTGTTATGTCAATCTCCTAAACCACTAAATCGAAATCTCTAATATGATTTTCGTGTTTTTAAAAATCCCTCTTACAGAATCCAAATCACCCTCTAGAAATAAGCTGGTGGAGAGAAGGGTGTCAGAGCAGCAGTCAATACTCGGAGCCAAAGTTAGCAAAGCCCTGTCATCATCGGATACAGGTGAGATTTCCAAGCTTGTTGACTTCAGTGGCATACGCATTTCCGCAAGTGCTCTTCAGCAATCCCGGAGCAAGCATGAATGCAAAATACACATTAGTAATAGGTTACATTCAGCATTTGTACACTCTTTTTCTCTCTTTCCTGCACAGAGTTATTGATGCTAAATGGGACCGACCCTGTAGCCGAGGCTGCCATTAGACAGCTCCATGAGTCGGCAAAACAGAAGCTCAAATCTCCTGTCAAAAAGAGCACCATCATCATCTCAGGAGTAACCAAGGTACAGAAAAAGACTGCTTGCCCACATATGCGTATTTAGTAGGGATGTACACTATATTGATACCATAGCACTTTTGTTTACTTTTTTCTGTGCATTCTCATTTCCCATATTTTTTACATTTATATTACCATCGGTGTCATCAATTGCTTACTTAAATGTTTTTTTTTTTACACTAATAATTTAATAAATTTGGTAAATGGAATATTTAGAAAATCTTTAGAATTTCTTTTTTATTTTGTACATTTATAATGTTGTGATTCCCAAAAATCATTTAGCATTAAAAATGATTTTGATTTATTTATACAAAATTGTGCAAATTGATCAGATTTATTTTCAAAATTGGAAACCTTCTAATCCTAGATCAAGATTATCAACCCATGAATCAAGCAAGCATTTCCTAATGTTTGTAGTTTGTCATTTTTGGGACATCTATCAATCTTTTTAGATCTTTTTACATTATAATGTTGTGATGCCTGAATTCACTTGTAGCATTTAAAACAACTGATTTTGATTGTAATATATTTTTTACAAAAGAGTACAATATTGTCAGTATCAGACAGAATACATTTTTTTGTGCTGTATCAACAAATAGTTAGTGATACCTTGCCCTAGTCACGTTACATCTTAAAGCAAGTTTGGCTTCTTTGGCTTTAATTGTCAGTTTCTAATTGAAGCTTTGCTATTAATCTGATCTCTAGGCCCCTCTAACACAGGATGAGGAGATGACTTTGATGGCTGGATATGCAGCTGCAATGGACGCTTCTATGTCCGGAGCATCTGAGGGCACCAGCAGCGAAGCAGCAGCATTACCCTCGGAAACAGTGGCAGAACCCAGCTTTCTCGAACCCATAGAGTCTCTGGTGGGTGCGAATGGCACAGATCATGTGGAGGACTGGGAGAGTCAGGCTGGAGAGGACCCAGATGCGGATAAGTCCTCTCTGTCCCTCTGTACCTCTGAAACGGGTTCCAAAAAAGGAAAAGGTGAGGGTGGAGAAAGGGAATGGACTTTGAGCTTTGTGTATTGAAAAAGAACAACATTCAGAATTATGCTGAGCTGGGTTTTGGGTTTCTATTTAACCAGTTTACACCTTCAAACTACATCAAGTGCTTAACTAGAGTCATAAATCTGATCACAGGTCTGCATGTGAACCACAAGGTCAAAGGCATGCATTTACACTACCGGCCAAACGTTTGAGAGTCGTTAAGATTTTTTTTATGTTTTTGAAAGAAGTCTCTATTTGACCACGCTGATACATTTCTTTTCAGGATTTTTTGTTTAATAGAAAGTTCAAAAGAACAGAATTTAATTAGAACAAGATTTCTTTTGTAACAAATACCTTTACTGTCACTTTTAAACAATTTAATGCATGCTTGCTGGAACAAAAGTTCCATTTTTATTAATTTCTTTAAAAATTTAACAGTAGTGTTTATGCTAGTGCAGAGGTTTTCAAACCGTGGTCACAGAGTGGGAAAAGGTGGGTCACAGAAAGTCACTTGGCTGCAGCTAAACTTGTGTTTCAGTGAATGACACATTTCGTCTAGGGATGCACGATATTCCAACATTAAGTAAAAATCACTTCGAATTTGCGTAGGCCGCGTTTTAATTATATACATATGCGCTGTCATATCAATTTCTTTCAAATCAAACTTTTGATTAACATTAAGCTTACAGTAATTCAATTGTTTTCTGATCTCAAATATTGTGGTGGGTCTTGAGAGAGATTATACTATCCCTGTGCTATTGTATAGGTAGTGTGTATCAGGTAAATTTATGATATTTTGCCCCACGAAATTGTAACTACAATATTTATTATTCTAGAATTAATTATTCTAAAAAGCTGATCTGAATCTTAAACTAATGTCCAATTAAGACAAAGAGTAAAGTAGCCATTTATTCCGTCACTTGAGTTGCTTAATGTAAACAACCTTCAAAAAAAGACTGAAAAATGTCTTAAAAAGGAACATCTCAACCAAATTCAAGTCTTGTTAGTGGCATGCCAGTTAATACAGAGCTACTAAATTCTGTCTCACCTTTGTCTAATATGAATGTTACAGCACTGTCTAGTGTCTTTCTGTCTGTACTTCTCACATTTGATGACATTCACTGTCTTTTTTTGTCCTCTGTACCTCTCCCTTATCACCTTTTTTTTTTTTTTTTTTTTTGCTATCTTAAAGTGGAAACCTGTGCTAACCAGACTTTATTGCTGGAAGAGTAAGTGACCTCTTGAGAAGTCTATAATAGTAAAATTATGTAGACTTCCCTGTGAAATTAACAAACCCTTTTAGTAAAAAAAGCTAGTCCATGCCCCAGCGTTTTAAACTTCCATCGGGATAATAAGCAAGTTATTACCCTGTATTTGATTAACATGGTTTTTCAAACGTGAATTTTGGACATGGAGAAAGATTTGACATGCTGTTTGGCTTCTCAAATCTTTGGAGGCACCTCTTGTTTTTTGTTTTGTGCTATTGAACCTTTTCATTGTTGGCTGAGTGAGAGTTTCAGCTGATAACTTGCCCAAACAGCATAAAAATTCAGAAGTTCAACCTTCCTGAACTTCTAAGCTGGTGTGGACTGGTTTAGGCTGCTTTGATTCTAAAACCAAGCACTTTCAAACATGTTTGCATACTCTGTGTTAGTAGTGTGCTTGTATTCTTTCAGCTAATTTCCATCTGATGCTGCCAGTGTATTGCAGTAGCATCTTTCAGAGCTGAAAATGACACACAGATTGCGTCACAATTCCCACAAATCCGCTGTTTCCTCATGGTAGTCGATAAAACCAACAGAATATTTGATTACTAATTTTATGGTTTAGCTTCCTGTTGATCAGAGTTTGACTTCCGGGTTGGCTCAGTGAAGTATGTTAGTGAGCTTGGCTGATTATTTTCATCTCTCTTTGGCGCCCCCTGTAGGCAGCTTCCTGCACAAGAGTGCCAAGCTATTCTTCAGACGGCGACATCAGCGAAAGGAGCCAGGAATGAGCCAGTCCCACAATGATCTGCAGTACTTGGAGCATCCCGAGGCGGCCATGATGGGCGACAGGGAAAAGAGGACGGCCACCTTCAGGCGCATTATCAACCACAAGCTTCTGCCCAAGAGCAAGAGCAAAGCCAACGGCACAGTGAGGGAACCGCCCACGTGAACTGCCCACTCTGTTGCATTAGAGAAGGCCTTCATCGAGACTAATAGTTTTTGCACCTCTTAATTTTTTTCTAACGTCCTCCTTTTCACATTCATTCTCAACTTTTATGCAAGTCATTTCTTGTTTCGCGTTGCAACAATCACTGTTTTGTCAACTCCCTCTCAACACATCATGCACATTCTCAGAAGTCCACTTTCATTATTATTCAGACCCTTCAGCTTGGTTTTTCTTTACCTATTTTATGAAGTCTGTCTTCATGGCACTAGTTTCATCTCTTCATCCATGTAAATGGGCATCAGAGGCTTGTCACTTTCTCTTTCACCTTGTGAAATGTGTGTTTATGCAAGAAAGTTACAGAACAGCATCCAAATGAGCACTGGCTCTCTTCGTCGCTCCAAATGACTCAAAGGAATCGTTTAACCTTATGCAAACAGTGATCATCATGCAAAAGATACTCTGTGTCTGTGGCCTTTTAACCAAAGTGGGATTTGATGATAACCTTTTCTTGCTATTTACCTAAGCTTTATCCCTCTGGAAACCCTCTGGTGACCTGATGGAACCTGGACTATCTGACTATCTAAGGGAAAACCATCAGTTTGATTTGCACTTCTTTATATGCTCAGAACTCATTCCAAATGCATTTGCAGTGATGTGCAGTGAATTCTGGGGGGTTTGGTTGTGAACATGCTCTGGATTTGTTCAAAATCATGTGAAAGATCTCTGCCTTTATGTGAATTGAATATGGGAGTTTTTATTTTGATAGGGATACTAATCTGCAGTTTAAGCCTAATTGTCTCTGGGAACAGTGACTTTTATTTTCCCAAATTTGTTGAGTGAAACATTTTCTAACAGAGCATAACATTTCAAATGTTCTGGGTTGGCACTGATATGTTTGCTTTAAGACGGGTTTGGTTTTCTGTTCATCTTTTAATTTCTAAATATTAAGCAGAGGTGGGAAAATATCAACAAAAGATATTATAAGGGTTATTTTATTTTAAATATTTTCTTTTTAAGCATACATTATTCAATATACTGTATAATTGTCAAATGTGCTGATTGATTTTTCTTTTCTTTTTTTCGTCATTCCACAATGCCACACAATTTTAAAGAAGTTGATGTGTGTGAATTGTACCAAAGGTTTTTAACACTAAGCAAGGGAATTTTCCCGTTTGAGAAAGACCAGAATGCAAGAGCACTGTCCTCTTGAATTTAGCTATTCAATATGTTCACGATTCATGAGTTATTTTCCCAAGAGTGGTGTTTTCTTTGATTTGTAATCTTAAGCCACCTAAAATGTTGATTGTGAATGCCAGCCACCAGTTTGTATTCTGAAACTGCAGTGGATTTGTGGGAAGGGGATTCAATAACAGGCTCCATTTGACATTTACTTGAACTCAAGCTGCATATGTAGAAGAAACCTGAATGCCTGTCCATAGTGAATGTTGCCAGAAAGAAACTTCAGCAGTCTGGCCGTTAACTCTGAATTTTGGGAGGACTACTGTTCTGTGATCTTTTTTTTTTTTTTTTTTTTTTTTTGTTGTGTGTTGCCATTTACAGGCTGTTAACACTTCATTTGGTGGTATTTCATCTTAACAGTCATAAAATTAAACAAAGGTCATTTTTATTGAAACAGGAGGCAAATGAAGATTTTATTTTTGTCATGCTTGCTTGGCCGTCCAGAGGTGATCTAGCCTTTAAATAAAATCGAACACATCAGTCCTCTTTTTATGCGTATCATCATAATATAATCATGTGCATTAAAGAACTCCTTGTTAACTTAACTCATCTGTGCTTTCTGTTGGATTCTGGTTGGCCTCCTTAACCAGAATGTCTGTAGAAATTGTGAATGATAATTGTATCCATGAGAACCTGTTTATCACCAGAACACATTTACTTGCAATATTAAGATCACACATCTGCATGGCCTGTGCAGTAAGAACTCATAAAGCTGTTGCGTTTGTAGTCCTAAAACCCTCTGGAATTCTCTGTCAGCTTTTAAGAACGGTGGTTTGTGATATTAAATAAAGTCTGTCATTACTTGAAGAGACTTGTTTTGCTCTATAACATAAATTACACATGGATGTGTTGTTGAATAAGGACTACAACTACCACAAGTATGCTAGTTTATGAAACCCTGTTGTTATATCAATAAAGCTTTAAATTTCACATTTGATGTATGTTTGTGTAGCCTAATGTGTGTTGTTTAATGCAAAAGTCTTTTCAAGTAATGCTAAACAGAGCTTTTGTTACTTTTCAAACCCAATGGCTGATTTGCTTTCTGATTATCCTACAAAATGACATTATAACTGAACAGCTGTTATAAAAAGTGACAACGACCTTGATGTCTGTGCATAATGAATGTAAGCCTGTGCTTATGTTATGTTCATCAACATATCTACTGGTTTGAGCAGTAAATACTGACTGAAAATTCCTGTTTGTTTCTGCATTCATTTTTCCTGTCGAAATAGGATTTAGAGTCAGACATGTTATTTTGTGTCTGCATAATCTAATTAATCAGCTGTAATATTGATGAAAATCTTACAGTGGACCGTTTGGGGAAAAACTACACTTCCCATAATGCAATTCGTGGGTCTTATTTCCGGTCCTGCGCGGTTTCTGGAGCGGATTGGAACCCGGAGTCAGGATTCACTCAATGTGTAGACGTTTGGAAAACAGGTAATGACTTTATGCTAAACTTGTGAGGTAGTTATATTCAAACGCATTGAACGAAATCCCCAAATGGTCCTCATTCAAAGGTGCAGCAGCAATGAAAAGTGTGAGCGAAGCGAGTTTGTTGTGCTTTGCGCTTTCAAACGCTCTAGCTCCAGATGAGCGCTGCGTCTCCATTCCATCCGCCATGCCGATTGTTCTTTGTTACATTTGCATTGCTGAAAGAGAGCGAGCGCTGCCTGAGATCGGAGTTAAAACCCGGCTACAGTTTGAAATCTTCCCAAATCACGGATTCTGTCCGCATCGGTCCGTATTGTACTCTTTCCCTGGCTGCTTACAGGCGTTTCATTCGCCGACAGCTGCCTGTACTGCGTTGATAACGAGCGTCATGCGTTGTGATTGTTGATCTTGGGAGCATCAACAAAATCTGTTACATTGTGTAATGGGTTTTGTTGACTGACAGCAATGCAATCAACACAACGTTATAATGGAAAAGTGCATTGAAATGTTTTTGCATTTAGACCTTAAGGACTTATAATTTTATAGCGTATTATTTCAAAGAATTGTCTCCTTATACATATGTAAATATGTTTGGTCCAGATTTATAAAGTTATATAAAAAATATATTAAAAACCCAGTTCATGCCAAATGCTTAAATACACCCGATGAATGTTTTTAAAATTCATGTCATTATATATTAAAAATAATATATGGTAAACATACAAAAAAGCCTAATTTTAAAGGCAGATTTTTTGGGGGGGGAAATGTTATAGCATAAGTTATTTGACATAGTATTTTATTATTATTATTTCTTTAGATTTATTAGTTATTAAATAATATTTGTGGGAAATGGTTTTACTTTTTTCCAATATATGTAGTCAACATGAAAACAAAGTTTATATTTCTAAGAATCTGCATGTTTTTAACATTTTCATGTCATATGTTTCAAAATGTAATTTGAAATGGTCTCAGATGTGTTATATATTTATAAATATATATGTATATTTATGTGTGTGTGTGTGGTATTAATTTGTATCATAAGTACAGCATGCTTTTACAGGTGTTAAAACTAATGTACATATTTGATGCATCATCTTTAGGGTGTCAGAATGGCAGAGCAGACACCAGATGAGTTTATTTGTAAGTGCACAACTATAATCTTGCTTGTTTATGAATATGCATGAAACATTATTGTATCCTTATTGCCACTAGTGAGCTTTTTTGCTGTGTCCTTGTTTTACTCAAGTACATGCCATAATATTGCATGTGACTCTTCTTCCTGCAGGGTGTGAGGACTGCGGGCAGTACCACGACTCTGAGTGTCCTGAGCTGGGGCCCATCGTCACAGTGAAGGACTCATTTGTTCTAAGTCGGGCACGGTGAGTGGACATGGGTGGCTTTTGGCTGACCACAATTAGATGGTCATATGTGTGATTTTCAAAGGCCATATATTGACTGTCTTATGTTTACTATCAGTATATATGTATGACTTGGTATTTCTTTTAATAGGAAATTCTTGGACTAGGTGCTTGAATTTCTTAGTGCCTTTGTGACATTTATCACTGAATTGTATTATGACAATAACAGTATGCATTAAGCACTACATTATGCCAGGGTTTCCCAAACTGGGGTTAATGGAAGAACTCCAGGGGGATTGTGAGATGAAAAGCTAATGATCATAAAACCATTATGGTTTGTTACATATATTGCAAATTTAAATATCATACATTTTTTCTGTACACTATCCTTCAAGTTTGGGGTCAGTAAGATTGTTTAAGAGAAAATATTTTTTTCTTATGATCACCAAGGATGCATTATTTGATCATAGATACAGTTCAAATTTTTACAATTTTAAGGACTTTCTTTTCTTTGTTTAATATATTTTAAAATGTAATTTATTCCTGGAATGGCAAAGGTACATTTTAAGCAGTCTTCAGCATCACATGATCCTTCAGAAACCATTCTAACATGCTTATTTGCTGCTCAAGAAACATTTTAAGCAGCAAAAACTGTTTTCTATTCACATTTTATATTACTGTATTTTGTTCATATCAATACAGCCTACTTGAGCATAAGAGACATCTTATGAAATTCTTAAAACAATAAGAAATTCTTAATTATTCCAATTTTTGTCTGCAAATGAAATTTTAACTTAAGAACATAATTGTCCATGTTCCAGGTCATCTTTACCAGACAGCTTGGAGATCAGGTCAGCTGAGGAGGGGAACGAAGGCGTGTTTGTACTTAGACGGCTGGTTAAAAGGACTCGATTTGGCCCTTTTGAGGCCAAGAGGGTTCCAAGCCTTCAAATGGAGGGCGCATTTCCTTTAAAGGTAAACAGTAGACCATTAATATGCCACTCCTAACCATATGACCTATACTTAATGTTTTTTCTATTGTGTATCTTAGATATTTCAGAAGGACGGATCGGTGGTGTGTTTTGACTCGTCC